TTAAGCTGCTTGTTTTGGTTTTCAAGTCTTAAAGATGTTTTGAGCAGCCAGATGTTTTAGTCAGGGGTAGCTGGAGACCACAGACTGTACATAAAAGATGGAAAAAGGAAGCGCGTTATACTGGCGTTCATTCAGTTAGCCAGCCACGGAGGATTGCAGAAATACATGTGAATCACAGGTATTAAAAACAGTAACTTTCTACAAAACGAAGGAGTGACAAGAGTATTCAGTCTCTTATTTAAGGAAAAGTCATAAAAATATGTTTAGCACCTAAAATAAAAGTACAGATTATGTAGAATCATAAATGTGATTTAGCTTTAGAGCGATATGTTACCATGCATGAGTACATTTGTTTTCAAATCTGTAGTAAATAAATAAATGGAGTGCAAAGTAGAGTGTTTACAACCACAACACAGCGGAGTCGAAATACTCAAACAACGTACAATAAAACTTATTTTAGTGAAGTGCTCAAATGGACCATGTGACTGGCGTTGGTAGGGGAAGCATGGACTCATTTATCTGTGACTGATGAGTCTGTGTCACTAGGTTGTTTGAATATAAGAAGTTTATTATTGTAATTATTATTGGATTCAACAAGACAAATAAGGTGGAAGGTGTGTTAGGGCGGAGATCACTACTTTCCTTTATGTACAGTCTGTGGAGGAGACAAAAAACAGCGATGAAAGGGAAGTAAGTGTAAAACCAACCTGGTGATTTACAAGTTCCGAATGGAGAACCATCTCGCGGCCTAAAGAAGAAGTGCTTTCACTTCGTCAGTTCACTCAAAACAAAGAAATTCACATCATCGGCATTCTAATCGTCCCATCTAACAAATCAGCTTATTCTCTGCTGATGATGATAGCGATGCAGAATATTGATGCAGCTCAATATTCTCTTCTTGTTTTTGAAGTGTAGCTTCAGATATTCATGCCTGGCATTTTAAAAGTAGTGTTTCTCAGTGCAACCTTTTAACTATGTATGTGAAACTCTTTCCCATATGTCGGCTCCTTTTGTCAAAGCTGTCCTTTAGTGTCTGTGATCTCACATGCATACATGAACGCAAACTCATAGTTTGTAGTTAGTAGTTTTTATTGCCTAAATCCAGTCAGAGAGTAACAAGCGAAACAGACCAGGCATCTAAAACTTAGTGCAATTCACAAATGTGCCAATCTGAGATTTTTGCCACCTATGCATCCTCAGCTGCTTTAAAGACAGCGGATATTTCTGCCAAAGGACACTCCGTAGCAGAGATCACGATGAAATCTGCAGCATTATGTTAAAACACGATGTTACAGGACTGACGAAACAAAAGCTGAGAAGCACAAAATCTCCATAACAGTCGACCCGTATTTGCAGAGTTCAGACATTTATTGATCAGCGTGGTTAGTGAGAAGATTCAGAGGCAGTATCTCCTGACCCTGACACAGCTCACCCTGTAGAGTCTCTGCCCCACCTACCCATGAAACTGAATGTCATCCATCATCTGCTCCCCATATTCATGTCTGTTTTGCCATCTTTAAAAAATAAAAAGGATAATATTTCCTCTTTCAGGCCTGGAGGAATCTCGGTGCACTACTCTCTGGTCTTTGAGGTCAGTTCCCCTCAAATCACCTCTGAGATTTCAGAGAATGCGACTGACACGCCCAAGTCTTCCTCAGCCAACTCTGCACTCAGGGAAATGGTGACCAAGGCTCTGCGTGAGGAGGCGTCCCTTCCAGTCGACCTGGATTCAATTAACTTTGAACCAGGTAACGTCTCTCCACAGAGGTCACTCTTTGGTTTCATTTATATGGTCATCGCACAAATAAGTTGGATGTAAAGAGTCATGAACAGCTCTACTTGCATTTTTTAGACGGCATGGGCAACATCCAGCTACTGTGACACAGCTGTCTCAGATCGTCCTCTGTGATCCAAGCCCTTCAAAAGCTAAAAAATTTCTTCAGGACCTAAATTTGTTTCACCCAAATGATTATTTAGAACATGTGAACACCGGCGTTGTTCAGTCTTCAACGAGAACGATGTTAGAACATTATTTTAATACAGAAGGATTCACAGCTACAGTCTGTAACCAAAAAAAACACCTTTCATAAAGACTTCTCCAGTGAATTCTCAGAAAACAGTCGAAAACGTCCCATCTGACACTTTCTTTTAAATAAGCCTCGTTTATCTGAATGAAAAATGAGGAACTGAATTAAAGAGCTTCACTTTAATTCAGTTTTGTACTGGCCAATTGTAAACATAGAAAACCTTACATAATCAGGCTCCCAGGAGCTCTATGACATTGTGGTTCCACTGAGAATTTTGGGCTCAGTGACACCTGGAGCATCCGGTGGAAACTTTTACGTAACTCCTAATTTGGACAATCAGCTATTTCTATTTAGTTAAAGCATTTAAGGCTTGGTGTATAATTCCACTACAAGATTTTGAGAAATATGAGTAACTGATTGGTTTTATCTGATTTCAACCTGCTTTTTGTTTAATGTCATAGAAAAGATCCTCCTACCAGCATTGAGAGCCACTGCTTCAGTTGGAGTAATGAATCAGGTAAGACCATTATAATGGTTAATGAAACTGTAGTTGGCTCATTTTAAAGAGAGACCACCCCAGATGAAACCCCATAGAGCCTACAGTGCTCTCTATCCATCACGTTCTATTAAATTGAAGACCACTGATCTCCAGAACTGTGCAGGTCACACTAGAGCAGTCTTTGTTTGTGCTGTCTTGTACAGCTTTCAGTGTGATTGGTAATATATTTAAATACAATCCTTAAGACTTAAATATTGTAAATTAAAGTTGTCTAATAGTTTTTTTTGTTTTGTTTTCATTTTTGCCAACATGCCTTCCACAGTCCAGCGAGCCTGATTCACACAACGAGTTGGAAATTTCCACTGTGGAGCCAGAGTTTGACAAACTCTGGCCGGCAGTTTCCCTCACCCCCATGGAGAAGGAAAATACCCTGGAGATCCTGCTTGACCCAACAGCAGTCCCAGATGAGGATGCGACAGCAGTGACCAGTGGGGTGGCAGAGGGCAGCGATCAACTCCCGGGCTCGGAGGACGTTACTGATGAGTCGATTTATGTGAGTGAACCCGGGCCAGTAAAGGAAGAGGGGAAGGGAGAAGAATTGCTGATCATTACACATGAGATTGAAACCATTCATCATGATGAAACCGGTAAACTTGTGCGAGACTACATTCCCACCCCTCCTGCGCTTCTTGAGCTGGAGACAGATGCTCCCTACGTCAGTTTGTCTCCTAACCTGATACCAGAGGGAGACCTGAGTCCTGTTGGTGACGACAGAGAAGGTCCTAGATTGGACACTGTTCAGATTACCCCAACCGCTAATATTATATTCACTACAATTCCGGCTGCAAAGGAGGCGCCTGATGTTAGACTCCCCATCACAACACTCTCCGCCATAACAGACCAGCCACCCACAAAGCCAACAGTGATGCTTCATGAAGACGAAGAAGAAAATGCTCTTCCAGAGGAAGAAGAGGAGGTACATTTGGGTGTCTCTAAAACCCACGATGCTGGTGATATTTCAGAAACAAAGGATGTTTCAGAGTTGGAAAATGAAAAGGGCCTGCTCAAACCAGAAAGTGGGTTGGCAGTTGAACCTGATGAAGAATCGCTCAAAGTTTTGCAGGCAACTGTTGAAGTTTCAGAGACAGTTGAAGGAATATCTGAAGTTTCAGAGTCAGCCAAAGAAGTATCTGATGTTTCAGAGACAGTCAAAGAATCATCTGAAGTTTCAGAGACAGTCAAAGAAGTATCTGATGTTTCAGAGACAGTCAAAGAATCATCTGAAGTTTCAGAGACAGTCAAAGAATCAGCTGAAGTTTCAGAGACAGTCGAAGAATCAGCTGATGTGTTTAAACTAAAAGAAGTAGTAGCTGAAATTTCCAAGGTAGATGAACTTCAAGAACCTGACAAACTAGGAGCAACTGTTGCAGACCCTGATGAAAAAGTAGCTGAAGTATCAGTTGAAAAAGAAGTACATGGGGTTTCTGAACCAGAAAAAGAAGTGCCTGAAGTTTTAGAGCCAGACCAAGAAGTAGCTGAGGTTTCCAAACCACACAGAGAAGTGCCTGAAGTTTCAAAGTTAGAAAAAGAAGTATATGAGGTCTTTGAAAGGGATAATGAAGTGCCTGAAGTTTCAGAGCCAGTAAAAGAGGTAACTGTAGTCTCAGAGCCAGGTCATGAAGTAGCCGAGGCCTCAAAACCAAATCAAGAAGTATCTGGGCCTTTGGAGCCAGATCAAGAAGTACTTGCGCCTTCAGAGCCAGGTCAAGAAATACCTGCGCCTTCAGAGCCAGGTCAAGAAATACCTGCGCCTTCAGAGCCAGGACAAGAAGTACCTGCGCCTTCAGAGCCAGGTCAAGAAATACCTGCGCCTTCTGAGCCAGGTCAAGAAGTACCTGCACTTTCTGCCAGGTCAAGAAGTACCTGCGCGCTTCTGAGCCAGGTCAAGAAGTACCTGCGCCTTCTGAGCCAGGTCAAGAAGTACCTGCGCCTTCTGAGCCAGGTCAAGAAGTACCTGCGCCTTCTGAGCCAGGTCAAGAAGTACCTGCGCCTTCTGAGCCAGGTCAAGAAGTACCTGCGCCTTCTGAGCCAGGTCAAGAAGTACCTGCACTTTCGGAGCCAGGTCAAGAAGTACCTGCGCCTTCTGAGCCAGGTCAAGAAGTACCTGAGCCTTTCGGAGCCAGGTCAAGAAGTACCTGCACCTTTCGGAGCCAGGTCAAGAAGTACCTGCCCTTCAGAGCCAGGTCAAGAAGTACCTGAAGTTTCTGAAGTAGATAATGAAGTGCCTGAAGTTTCAGAGCCAGTCAAAGAGGTAGCTGAAACCTCAGAGCCAGGTCACAAAGTAGCTGAAAATGCAAAACCAGACACAAAAGTGCCTGAAGGCTCAGAGCCAGGTCAAGACGTACCTGTAGACTCAGAGCCAGGGGAAGAGTTTATAGTAGAATCTCAAGAAGTTGCTGTTTCAGAGCCAGAAGAAGTAATTGCAGAAGTAATTACTACTCTAGGTATTGAAGAGAAGGACCTTGAAGTTTCAGAGCCCAAGGCAGAAGCAGAAGAAAGCACCGTCAAAGATCTGACAGAAGAAGCACTGCATGAACAGCCCAGTGTTTTACAACCAGAAGAGGAAAAAGCAAAAATTACAGAAGAGATTAAAAAAATGGACGAAAATGTAATTCCAAATTTGCAGCCTGAGCCAAATGTGGGGGGTGTTAAAGAACCAGAGGAAGAGTCACAACTCACAGGTGTAGAAGATGTTTCAGAACCAAAAGGAGAGGTGGTTGATGCCACAGAATCAGAAAAACTAGTGCCAGAGGCCTCTGAACCTGAAGCAAAAGTAATTGAGGAAAAGCCAGCAGATGTGAAACCAGCAGAAGAAGAGGTTTCTGAGGGTCCAGCACGAGATGATAAAGATGTCGAAAGAAAGGAGGAAGAGGTTTTGCGGGTAGAAAAAGTTAAACCTCCAGCAGAAGAAACTGCAGAACCAGAAACTGCACCGACAAGGGAAACCCAAGTGCCCAAAGTAACAGAAATGGCACCTGTGGAAGTTGGGACTGCAGAATCAGAAAAGGAGCAAGAAGAAGTACCAGAACCGACTGAGTCGGTGGTAGAGATGAAAAAGGTACCATACGAACCATTACCTGGGAAAGAATCAGAAGTACTGGATGTAACTGAGGTCCCACTACCACAATCTGAAGAAGTCGTGGAACAAGTGAAGGTTGCTGAAAGCCCAAAACCAAAAGAAGCTTCTCAACCAGTCAAAGGCAAAGCTGACAGTTTACCACCAGAGGAAAAGCTACCAGAAGTCTCAGAGTCAGAATCTAAAGAAGAGGTAATAGAGGAAGTCCAACAATCAGAAGGGGAGCATCTTCATGGCCTAGAATCGGATCCAGGTGAGGGGGTAGTAGAGATGTTAGAACCAGAACCTAAAATAGATGCTACTGAGCCACCTGCCGAATCAATTAAAATCCTGCCCTCCTTGGATGGTGTGGACAACCTTCCTTTTGGAGAGGATGCTGTTCAGGTCATTGAAGATAAAAACCTCCTGTATCCTGTCAGAACTGACTATCATCACCCAGCAGAGGAGCATAATTTACCCGTCATACCAGTCCAGCCTTCCAGCGAAGATGTAGGCGAACCTGACCATGACTATCCCATCATTGATCATTTTTACAACGAGGAGGATGTAGAGAGTGTAGACGTTCAGGTGGAGCATGAAGTCAATTCCACCACAATGACAGAAACGACAAAAGGCAATTCACACTTGGAGACGATCTCTCATATCACAGGTGAGCAGGTGTGAAGAGCAATGTTGGGGTTGTTATTCAAAAAAGTACTTTATTACACATAATTTTTTACTTTCCTTAAAAGTAATGCAGTACTTAATTACTCGCCGGAGAAATCAGTTCGCTTCACTACACTACACTACAGTACACTACACTACTTGTTACATTACTTAAGTGTTTCTTTTGTAAAACCTATAAAGAGTATAATATATGGGCGAATTACAGTAATTATAAATGAGATGGAAGTGAGATGATTACATGTTTTCTGATGGATTGATTATATAATTTTAGAGCCGTGTACAAACCAAAATGTGATCTCCCTACATTTCAGTGCAGACTGTGCAATGTGTCTGTGCTGCATGAAAAGTTGTGGGTTATTTTTTGATTATTAAAGACGCCATCAGATGGATCTTTTCTGTAAGATTTTATCTTAGTGCAGAAGTGAGGATTCTGCATTAGCTGTATGAATTTATTATGTATGTATACAGGCACATTTTGGTAATTTGTTGAAATCCTTTGTGTGCACTCATGACTTAATTAATCCTTTTTGCCTGAAATTTCAAAGTGGCAGCTGCAGACACGACAGGCACATCAGAAGCCACTAAAGAGTTGCCAGAGGAGACACAAAAAAGTAATTTATCCCCAGAAACAGACATCAGTGTGACAGCACCACCAGCTTCAGACTCACTGCCTACACCTCCGGCAGCTTCTGTTGATGTTTCTGAAGTGTTTTTACCCGTCCCAACAATTGACTCTGGACTCTTTGAGGTAGCAGAGGAATCTGAAGTCCCCATTGTTACTGAGTCTCCTGAGGGTGATAGCGCTGAGCCGGAGGTGGAGTCAGAGCAAAGCGAGCCAGCTGTCGTCATTATTGATGAAGACTTGGGAGGCTACATAAAAAAAGAAGGCGGAAGCCCCACCACCCCGCCGGATGCTACCGAAGACATGGTGAAAGAAGCTGTGCAGGACCTGGCTGTGGAGCTGGATCAAACCAGCGTGGTGGCCACAGACCCAAATGAGCTCCTGGAAAAGGGAGAAGAGGGGAGCGGCTTCCTGTCTGTGCAGGAGGAACACAGGACCATTGTCACCACGGCCACACCTCCACTGAGATACCTAACCACTCCCACCATGACCATGGCCAGCCACGGCCGGGAGCTGGTGGTGTTCTTCAGCCTGCGCGTCACCAACATGGACTTCTCTGAGGACCTCTTCAACAAGACTTCACCTGAGTACAGGTCCCTGGAGAACACCTTCTTAGACGTGGTGAGTTGGAATGCAACCTGCATCCTTCTTTAGGGTTCTTTATTCTGCTGGTTTGTCTGGTTTAAAGAGTCATTATGTGTTGTTTGCAAAACTGTCACACCTCTTTGAATATATCAGCAATCACCAGTTAGTGGATTACAGCTGTTTAAGTAAAAATATATTTAAAGCTTTACGTACTGCAGCATTTCTCAAATTGTGGGACATGAGCCGCTGCAGGTGGGGCGTCGATAACCAGCTGAAAAATACAAATGGACGGAAAATTAATAAAACTGTGGGTAAAGCTGCGGGTACTGCTAACCTTGGGCCTTTGCTTTTCTTAATGACTGAAAAAACATGTTCAATGTGCTGTGTAAACTTGGATGAACTAGCTATGATGATGCAGAGCTGACAGCAGCTAGCTCTGTCGGCACCAGCCTGTCTATGAAAGTGGCCACGGCAATATTAATGCATAGCTTTAAACCTCGATGTAACTCAAACAGGAGAGTTGAATAAAAGGTTTTCTCCACTACTGTTGTTCTGAAGGAGGAAACCATCCATAGAGGTCAAAACAGTTTTTTGTATTAATTCAATTCAATTTTATTTATATGGCGCCAAATCACAACAAAAGTCGCCTCAATGCGCTTTATATTGTACAGTAGATACAGAGAAAAGCCCAATAATCATATGACCCCCTATGAGCAAGCACTTTGGCGACAGTGGGAAGGAAAAACTCCCTTTTAACAGGAAGAAACCTCCAGCAGAACCAGGCTCAGGGAGGGGCGGCCATCTGCTGCGACCGGTTGGGGTGAGAGAAGGAAAACAGGATAAAGACATGCTGTGGAAGAAAGACAGAGATTGATAACAGATATGATTCAATGCAGAGAGGTCTGTTAATACATAGTGAGTGAGAAAGGTGACTGCAAAGGAAAAACTCAATGCATCATTGAGACTCTGAAGGTTTTTATCTCAGCTGTAAAGTTGGACATTTTAACATATTAACATATTTTAACATATTATCCATCAGTCTATGGAGACTGACTCACTTTTGGAGCCTCATGTGGAAACTAGAGGTACTGCAGGTTTTGGCACTAATGCATTCATTTGCATGTCATGTCTGCAGGATTTTTTAATGTGTGATTTTAGAGTGTTAAATGACACAGACTATAAAGTTCAAGGTTTTATGTGACATTAATGTTCTGGAGTGTGATAGATTTAGATTTAGCTGCTGTACCTGACATATCCGTTTACTCTGGGGGTTTTTTCCTCGTTAAACGTGGGTCCATAGATATTTTCTTCTCTTTGGCAGAGCCGATATATTTGGTTTATATCACCACATTAAAAAAAGAAGAAGCAATTATCCAATTCTAAAATCGAAAACTGAGCACCTGCTGAATGCAGAAAAATTCAAACTGTTTAATATTTGGGAGAGCATCACATCATGAAGCTGTAGCCTGAGAGCTGAGGGGAGCTACAGACTCGGATCATAATCATGTGTGGCTCCATCAGCACCAGAGACTCCTTTCATGTCATTTCATACATTATTATAAGAGGAGAGGAGAACATATTCCCCAAACTGAGACCTAATTGGAGCTGGTTTCATCCCGCTTTGATGCCAATGAGCTATTTTTCCTTCTTTGATTAAAATATTCATATTAATAGGGATATTTAGAGCGTATCGACACAGTGCCTGGTGAGTGCGATACCTCATACTTCTATGACTTGATGGGTAAAACAGAAAGCCAGACACAATTAATAACACAAGCTCTGTTTTCATTCCGAGTTCTCCTGGAGCCCTCAGCGTCGGAGCTGCAGGTTGTTGCGCAGTGAATGGATATGTTTTGATGTTTTGGATGAAGCGAGAGAATAATTTCAAGCTCAGGCAGGTACAATACAGCCCTTATTTCTCTCTGAACAATGACTCTGCTGGATTAATGAGGCAGGAAGAACACGCCGGGGGAATATAATGGTAAATGGATGATGCAGGTGCGAGTCCTCTGCCTGAAATACTAATCTAAAGATGAAACGTGCCTCCTACTTACTGCAGTTTTATTTGCAGATTATTGCCTGCCAGTGTCCTTCAGCTGAGATTTCAGATCAAATAATGTCTGAAGAAGTGGGAGCTCTATCTGGATTTCTTAGCATTCAGACAGTTTTATCAACCTTAACTCTCTGCAGGGCGCTCACATCTTTCTTTACCTTTCTTATTTTTCTCATTTGGATCCATCAATGATTAACACTCTACCCTAAACTAATTCCTGCTGCAAATGTACATTTTGGTGACCGTTACGTACCGACGTTTCAAAGTATTGAGTTCAAGCCTGGAGGCATTTACATACTAATATGGAGCTGCAGCAAGTGATGTTTGTGCAGCAGCCAATTAGAATCCAGAGCTAAAAACAGCTCAGTGTAACTAAAGGTGCAAATATTTCACATAAGCTTGAGTGACTATTCAAATACTCAGCAGTCATAAACATACCTTTCATTGATGAGTAAGCACTTCCTGCAGACTTTTCACATTAAAAGCCTTACAGGAACAGCAGCCTGCGAGCTGAGGCTTTTAATGAGTGTCAGTGATTTACAATGTTTGAAAGAGTGGCAAAGGTGAATAGACTGGAGTTACTGTTCTTTTTTGTTTAATTGGGAAACTTGGAAGGAAACCATTGAGTCTGCAGAAATGCTGAGTTTGCATTATCAGCAATATCGGCTAATTAAAAGAGGGGCAGGCAGGAAAATGGAGAGATCTGGGTAATATATGAGTCGAAAAACACAGAAAAGCTTTTTATTTGTGTTTAACTCGAGGAATTGAACCAGCAGCCTTTAAGTCGTCTCCTCTGTGTCCTCGCTCTGCTGCTGGCGGTGAAAAATTAATTCAAGCCCTGCAAGACGCAGTAATTATCACATGAATAGAAATACAGACTCAGGCCGACAGATACTGCCTGGTAAAGAAAGTACTTTAAATCCTTTTGGGGACCCACGTTTTCTGAATAGATTTTACTCTTCATCTGCTGAACAGTTTAAACTGCATCAATAGAGGTAATTATGTCCGGTCAATGCAAATTAGAGAAACAAAACTGTCGAGTGTTTCTATTTGTTCTCTTTTAGTTTGACTCTGCAGATCGTGTGTGTGTGTGTGTGTGTGTGTGTGTGTGTGTGTGTGTGTGTGTGTGTGTGTGTGTGTGTGTGTGTGTGTGTGTGTGTGTGTGTGAGTTGAACTTCATTTTCAGGGATACTAATTTGTCGGCACAGTGTCTCATTTAAGGTGAGGATGCTCTCAAAAAAACTCAATGACAGGAGGAATACATGAAGAGGAGCGATGACTGAAACGAAGTGCGCTGCTTTACTGCATCTCCTCCGTAAACAGCATAATCACATCAGTGGCACTCGCTGCCAGCAGCACTTATAAATGTACTTATTATTTCCGGACACATTTTACACGCACATGCAAAAAGGACCATAAATATTTGTGTAATGAAGGAAGAAACAAGCATGTTCGGTAAACTGGACTTGTGGGGATTTAACCCGACTTTAAAGAGTAAAACCTTTTTTTTTCTACCAGTGATATATCACTGTCTCTCTCTCATGGGTTCAATTTAAGGTTGAAAAATATTTGTTTTAAACTGAAATTTATGATATAATAATAATCATGATAAAAATACATTTTAAAAATTCGTAAAAAAGTTTAAATTGATGAATGAGGAAAAATATTTAGAATCACTGATAGAGACTAAAGTAAACTTTGTAAACTCATCGCATAGATAATCAGTTCGGTTTGATTATATAACACCAAATCACTGATGACAGTGGGAAGGAAAAACTCCCTTTTAACAGGAAGAATCTGCGGCTATCTGCTGTGTGGGGAGGAAGACAGAACAGGCTGTTCCTTTCTTTGAGGCAACGCGATCAACACCAAACAGAAGACACTTAGGTCACTGCATTTCTAAAGGTTCTCAGAAACGGTAAGATGTGAACAAATAAGATAGTCAGCTCCAAGTATATGCCTCCCTTCAACACCGCCGCTGTTAGCTGTACTATAAATAATAGAAGCGATTGCTGTCTGGTTGATAACAGATGGAAAGCAGCTCGTCGGGCTAAATGCGGTGAAAGCCATTCTTCTCTTTTTATGAGGTGGATGCTTTTTGTGCGGATCTTTTACAAATAAATGCACGAGAGGAAACAGCTTCCAGTACAGATGTTCATACTAATGCAAAGTTATTGAATAACCCATGTTACATGTAAAAATTTACATGTAATTTCTATAATTAATTGCACCAAAGGATCGACTTTAAAGTGAATTGAAGATAAATGGGATTGAAGAAGAAGTACTGACTTAAACTGAAGGGAGAAAAGAACAGGGCTGTAATCCTATTAAGAAGAATAAGCCAATCAATTTGGGGCACAAAAACTGGGATTTAACTAGAAAAAACCTGGATAAATCCTCTGATTACTTTCTGGTTTGAAGACACAGTTCATCCATATCACATTAAAGTTTAAAATTATGACTTTAATCTTTCCTTTCTGTGTCTGCTGACAGCAGATTGACTCAAACAGTGGGATGGTTTCTTCCTCAGAGAGATGTTTGTGTGATTTAAAAGGCGTTCTGTAGTCTTTGCAGCTTCTGAATTACAATATAAATCTTCAGTGTGAGTTCAGGCATTGCAAGAATTTCTCGAGCAGGAGGAGGAAACGTAGATGAATGTATTGATTTGTAGAAAGAAATTCCAGACATTCACACAAAACTCTGGATAAAATTAGACTGGGTGCATCAATTCAGCCAAGGCTTTGGCTTCATGGGCATAAAAGATGTGAGTTATGTGAGCAGAGAGGCATCAAGTTATTTATGAATTCACTCAGTTTAGACAGAAGTCATGATGAGACAGTTTAATCGGCCCAAACTACATTTACATCAATTTTCTTCTGTTTTTCCTTCAGTTTTGTTTTGTGCAGATTCTCCAAAGAGCTCAGAGAAAATGTGTAATTTTCCCTTTGTGTGTGTGTGTGTGTGTGTGTGTGTGTGTGTGTGTGTGTGTGTGTGTGTGTGTGTGTGTGTGTACTTGGTTGTTAATATCAAATTATATCAAACAGTCAGACTCCCCTATGGCCTACGCGTCACTCTCTGCTTCTTCTTCTTCTGCAGCTGCTGCCGTTCCTGCAGGCCAACCTGACGGGCTTCAAAAAACTGGAGATCCTCAACTTCAGGAAGGGCAGCGTGGTCGTCAACAGCAAGATGAAGTTCACCAAGTCAGTGCCGTACAACATCACCGAGGCGGTCCACTGCATCCTGGAGGAGTTTTGCACCGCTGCCGCCAAGAAGCTGCACATCCAGATTGACACCCACTCTCTGGACATCGAACCAGGTGCGTGAAACGCTACCGGGTTTGCAGGTGTCCTGAGCTTTCTCTGCCCCAAACCGAACTGAATGTGAACTCCGGTCTGCTGCTCATGTACACCAGCCGGGCCTAAAATTGTGAGCGGTGACAGGTGAGGTGAATAACAGTGATTATTTCTTCACCTGTTAGCGGGTGGGAGCAAGTCAACATTTTGTTCTCAAAGTTGATTTGTTAGAAGCAGGTAAAATGAGCGAGTGTAAGGATTGCCATCACAGTTTGACAAGGGCCGAGCTGTTCAGAGTGTCTCTACACCTGCAGCTCTCGTTGGGTGTTCCCGGTACGCAGGGGTCAGTATCTATCAAAGTGGTCCAAGGAACAAACAGTTGTCATGGGCGGCTGAGGCTCACTGATGCATGTGGGGAACAAAGCCCGGCCCGTGTGGCTACTTTAGCTCAAATTGCAAAAAACGTTTAAGCTGGTTCTGATAGAAAGATGTCAGAATACACAGAACATCTGGCACTACAGACAGCGAGGGTTCCCACACTGACGCCATCCACCGTGTTCTGCTGGGAAACCTTGGGTCCTGCCAACACATGGACGTCACTTTGACATGTAACATCTACCTTAGCGGTGTTGCAGACCATATACACCCTTTCATGGAAACAATACTCCCTGATGGCTGTGTCTTTCATCAGGATAATGCGAGGTGCCACAAACCAGAAATAGTTCAGGAACAATTTGAGGTGTTGACTTGGCTTCCAGATTTCTCAGATCTCAGTCCAATCGAGCATCTGTGGGATATTCTGGACAAACAAGTCCCATCCATGGAGCCCCCACCTCGCAGCTTAGAGGACTTAAAGGATCTGTCGCTTACATCTGGATGTAGATCCCACGGCGCACCTTCAGGAGTAGAGTGGAGTGCATGCCTCAACGGGTCCGTAGCAGTTTATAAAATAGAGTAATATAACACAGGAAGACAGTTTGTTTTGGCCGATGTTAGCAGTGATTAAAGCAAGCTCTGGCTCAGTGCTGATTCTACTGTTGTTCAACTGAATATCTAAGAGTCCTTTTTGCATGCGATGGTGTTTTTATTCCTTAACATGAAAGATTAAAAAGCCAACATGCCGTTTCTTTTGTTAGCTGCAGTGCGGTGGTGTTTTATGATGCCAGGATTTCTTTTTATGTATGAGATATAAACAGGCATCTTAGAATAATTCACATTTGTTGTATCAGCAGCGCTCCTCTGCATGCAGTTCACACTCTAAAAGCTTTGTGATGTAATATTCTCCACAGATGAGTCTGAGGCAGGGAGCAGAGATCACAAACATTCAAACAGACTCGGTAATTAGGTCTATATGTCAAATCCAACGGCACACGGTGGGATCGTAGAGAACATTATAGGGCCCGAATAAAGGTGATGAAGATGAGAAGTGAGCTGCTGAGAGGAGAAGTGCTGCTGCAACATCTTCTGTCTCAAGGCGAGCGTGTGTGTTTCAGCAATATCCTGATTGGGAATCAGGTTTTTGCTGAAACACTCGTGTTTGTTGTGAACAAAGCTGCAGAAGCTGTGTGATTTTTATCACATCGGTATGGACCAACATCTCTGAGGAGTGTTCCCGAGCAAGGGATACCTAATAAAGTGGCTGGCAAGACTAGATTTTGAACTAAAAGAGGCTATAAAGCACTACATACACTGTAAAAACAAAGGTAAATGCAGGTTTATAAAACCTTAAATTCTCTTGTAGTTGATTTGAGGGTTACAATCAATCTCCCAAAAACTGCAGCGATATGTTTGATAGATTCCTCAAACCTGCCAGTTACACAGTCTAAGAAAAGTAGTAAGAGGGACATTTTACATACACAGATTAAATATGGCTATTTATTCCAAGTCATGATGTAAAAGCAGCTGTTTCTGTTCCAGCTGGCATACACTGATAAATATACAGTATAAATAAACAGGAACTCTCCAGGACACGAAGGCTGTAGACCCCCAGCAGAAGCCCTGATTCAAACACACATACTTGCTGATGTATGTTTGGATTACAGATATTGACCACGTGCTGTGGCTTCACAACATGACGTACTTCTCATCCGTGACACCCTGCACACATGCTAATTTCCCCGGAGTGAATCTGACGTTTAGTCTCGGAGGCCGGCTAAACCTTACATTTCAGTGCAGAGCAGGAGGAGAGGATCTCATTAAAATCAAACGCTCCTCAGCACCTCCCGGAGAGAGGAGGGTGGTTAGAGGAAGGCGCGGGAAACTCCTCCTGAATACTAATGTGTGTCCACGTTTTTCTGCCTTCCTCTCCTTGCAGCTGATCAGGCCGATCCCTGCAAGTTCCAGGCCTGCGGTGAGTTTTCTCGCTGCGTGGTGAACGCCTGGACGAAGGAGGCGGAGTGTCAGTGCCAGTTGGGCTTCGTGTCAGTGGACGGCCTGCCCTGCCAGAGCCTGTGTGTCCTCCAGCCGAACTACTGCCAAGGAGGAGAGTGCCGCATAGTTCCCGGATACGGAGCCGTGTGCAGGTAAATGACGATGTATGCGGACTGTGTATCAGCAGGTCCACAGTTTGGTCTATAAAGTGTTACAAAGAACACAGAGCAGAAATCACAAAATTTATTATTTCTATAATTTTACAGTAAACGCAACCACATCATCAGCATATAATGGCAGTCTCAGTCTGTCCCTCCATAGATTTAGGACCTGATATGCAGAACTCTAGAGACAAAGAGTTAACTCAAAAAGCACATGAGATGAGGGACTTTCAAAATAAGACAGGAAGTAACAGAACACAGGAACAAAAACAGCGGCCCAAACATTTTGTTGGGGGGTTGTTTAAAGAAAAAAGGACTTAAGCAAAACTGAAGGAAGCAAATAAATGAATGAAATCAAATAAAACATTAGGTTAAAGCTAATGATAGGTTTTAATACAAAAAAAGACTGCAAATAAAAACAACAAACTGAAAAAACAGGAAGAAACATTCACGGTGGACAGGACATCTCAGACTCAGCGAATGAAAACAGGACGAGTGTTAAATAGGATTTCAAACGGTCGATTGCTGAACTTTGTGCAGGTTGGCAGATTATTTGAGAGGCTGTGGAGTCGATTCATGGAGGGCAAATTTCATTGATAGCCAGTGCAGTGACCACTGCGTGATGTGTAGGAGCTGAATTGTGATTACTGAGTGGATTTGGACAAACTGAACATAAAAGGGTCACCGCAGTTCAGCTGAGAAGTCATTAAAGGGCCGTTAAAGTTAAAACCAGCTGCAGTTTTGTAAAAGCTGACCTTCACGACTGATTTGACTGTTAAAAATACGATTTTTACAACATTCAGCTGAACAACAGAACAGGAACACAGACCATGGGCAGCACGTGTTTCAGTTTTGGAGTGATGGTGAGGCAGAATTTAAATCTCAGGACCAGGGTTTGCAAACAGGTACAGCGGGAAAGTCAGCGTTCAGTCATTTCAAAGTCCCGGCTGCAGGAATGTGGGAACAATCATTTCAGAGTGATAATGTGTGACTGTCTTATCCTCACTCAGACTGAGCTGCCATTCTTTGAGCCGCTGGATTCAAACCAAGAGCCATAATTTTCATTACAGATGTATAATTTTTATCAGAGGGAGCTGGAGCCTGCCGGTGTATAATGTGATTTTCTGCTTTCTTTTTTTAAGTGGAATCGTTCTTTTTGTAAAGGGTCGTGATGCCTCGAGTTTAAGCTGTTCTCTGCAGCCTTCTTTAACTTTCTCTGTTAAAAGTAGAAAGTTATTCAGGTACTTTTTAACAACCTCAGCTTGGGGTTAACGCAGGGTAACCTTAAGCATGCAAAACAGAGGACTGAAGCCAAATTATACCCAATAAAATATGAGACAGGAATTAAACATACAATTAAACAGTGTTAGCAATCACCTCAATCGTAAACTGCGTCACTAAAATAGAATAAATATGAAATCTGATTAGTAAACATCCATTGTTTAACCACTTATAGCCTGTCACAGCTGTCACAAGGAGAAGGGTAAGGTGAGGCGTCTGTGGAGAGAAAGTGAACACTTTCATCTTTTAAAGTGAAAAAGTCCACATGTGGAGGCTGGAGGGGACACAGAGTCATACTCATACACAGATTTTCATGCTTCATTTGGATTTTTTTATAACGCATGAAGCTCTTTAATTGCCAATAAGTTACTCGGTTAGGTTGGTATGCATGCAAACTCCTCCCACAAAGGCCTCAGCGGGTCAGCAGATTCAAATCCAGAACCTTTTTGCTGTTAGGCAACTGTGCCACCCAAATATAGCCCTAAATACCCCCTAAGAAACAAACAAAAAGGCCACAATAGGACAGACAACCCAAAAAATCCCTATCTGTCTATCTGATTCAGACTGTCCCAGGAGCCCACTGAGCTCCTGATCCAATCTGGGATCAGGAACTCAGGAACCAATCCAATCTTCTCTAGCAAGAAGCGATAAGGAGAGAGCGGTGGTCCGTGTCCATCTCCTGCAGAACCATTCCCTATTTGGGGGTTTGTGTTGCCGTGCCTCTCCAGAGCACCCGTTGTCACTTTGATTTGCACTAAAACACCTGAAATGGATCAAGAAGATAAACTCTGAAGGCTGACACAGACTGAAGCCATGATATAACTACCAGCCACTCACGTGACTGCAGGAAAGTGAGCGTATAGAGACATCTATGGTGAGAGAAGAAGGGTGGAGCCTCTTTTTCTTCTTCTGTCGCTTTGTGGTGTAACAGCTACTTTGCTTTCACTCTTCTGTCCAGTTCATCCCAAACCAGCTCAATGGGGTTAAAGCCTGGAGACTGTGGCCACTTCGTGTTTTTAAGCTTACTATCTTGTTCTTTTTTCCTGAGGTAATTCTGCCATAGCTTGGACTTGGGTCATTATCTTGCTGTAGGATGAATCCTTGACCAACTACGTGCATACCAGAGGCTATTGCATAGTGCTGCAGAATGCTGTGGGAGCCGTTTTGCTTCATGGCGCCTCTCACTCTGTACAAGTCACCCACCCTGGATCCAGCAAAACAGCCCCAGACCATCACACTTCCTCCTCCATGTTTGCCAGTTAATGCCACACACTGTGAAACCATCCTTTCACCTACTCAACGGCGCACAAAGATCCTGCGTTACAAACTGAACATTTCAAATTTTGATTCCCCCTTCCAGTCTTCAGTCGTCCAATGGCAGCGTTTCATGACCCAGCCAAGCCTCTTTGTAATATTCTGACGTCTTAGCGATGGCTTTCTTGCTGCAACTCGTCCTGTAAGACCTGCAGCAAGAAGTCTCCTCTTCACAGTTGAAACTGAGACTTACTACGACCACTATTAAGCTGTGCTTGAAGCTGTTATCCTGTTAGCCGCCTATCATGCAAGCTGTTAACTCCCAGAAACGTGTCCCATGATTCAGCTGTGGCTTTGGGTCTGCCAGACCTCATCCTGTCAGTTTGCCCCGGTTTCTGAGTGCCTTTTGATAGTGAAGAAAACTACTGTCACCTTGACTTTCTTTGCAATTTCTCTGTAGGAAATACAAAGTGCTACATACATTTCATTGAAACTTGTGGTGCATGGTTGAACTTAGTACATCTGAAGCATAACCGCCAGCTGTTAGCTGCTGTGATGAGTTTTAAATCGTGGCAGGATGATGTCGGCTGTCCACAGACGCCTTTGAAGAATAGTTCCTTTCCTTAAGCACTTAAAAGCTTCATTAATATCGTGTTTCATTAACTGTCAGCTCACATGCAGATTTTTTATTACATTATGAACGTTTAACTGAATTAAAAGTTATTCTCAGGTCTGTTAATAAACTGCACTGCAGGGAGCGGCGACGGTTTTAAATCTGAGACATTTAGAGACAGACAAGGTGAGATAATGGCTGGAAAGACTTTTTTCTCAACTCTTATGGAAACTTTGAAGGAAATCTGACGACGCTCTGCTTGGTTTTTTTAATTGTATTTAATCCAATAACACCAAACATCTGTCTGCTGAAACAAACAGACTCAGTAACAGCAGCTGCTCTCTGCGCTTTTATCAACATTTGTTCAGGACTAATTTTACTGCTGTTTAATCCACGTTTGGTGTGTGTGTGTGTGTGTGTGTGTGTGTGTGTGTGTGTGTGTGTGTGTGTGTGTGTGTGTGTGTGTGTGTGTGTAAAGATGATTTTCTGAGTTTTGGTAACTTTGGCAGTCTTCGAGATGTAACGTAGTGCCGTAATCATCCTAAAGATTAACTGTGTCTGATGCTTTGGTTTATAGCAAAATGTTGCTTAAAACTGAGATCGTGATTTTGGTAATGCCTGCTCCTTATTTCTGGTTTTGAAAACTGTCAGAGAAAAAAGAAAAATCTTTGCACATGTGGTTCATCAAACAGATGGATATGAGATGGACAAACAGATCCAACGCTGCAAAGAAAATTGATTTAATGTTTTGGTTTCTTTTTGTGGGTTTTGTCACTTTGTGACTGAGGGATTGATCGTGCGATTGATATTTTTCAGTTTCTTGTCACTTTAATGGTCAAATGATGGAAAAATTGCCCCAAATAGCTTTAATGTGCCTCTGAATTCAGACTGACCATGCTTGTATGAAGTAATATCTTTGTGCACAGCCTTTAGCGGTCTTCTGCTCTGCTGTGGTGTTTATCCTCCTTCTCTCTGTCTGATCCGTCCCTCCATCATCCAGCCCCTCACCACTGTAAATCAATGCTAAGTTGATTTTTAACGGAGAGAAAGCGTTTTTTCTTTTACTAACCACCTGCAGAGAGTCGCTGCCGCTCAACTGCCAGAAAAATCTAATTTCAGCACCGTTATATGGCAGCACCTCGCCTCCTGACACACAGCACCTCAGAGATTCTCACGCTCAAACGTCGATTTTCCATCAGCTCAACCTTTGCACAGATAGTTTTGGGTCTGCATTGTTTCACCTGTCAGACAGCACAAACTTCATTTTCTGGATCTGCAGTGGTGAGACATTAGAGAAACCACAAAAGCGTAAAACACTCATTAAAACGCCATCGTTACAGCTTCTGTGTCCACAGATTAACAGGCAGGAGATCCACAGCTCTGAGCTTCTAGACTGAAGACTTCGTTTATTGTTCGTTGGAAAAAAACACAAGAAAACTAAGAAGTGTGGTGTATTAGGGGCTAATCCTTTGTGATCTCCTTTGAATTCATCTTGTTAAGCGTTGTTGTAAAATCCTGACCTACACGAAACCCAGTTGTTAAAAACTTAAGCAGGAAAATAAGGGACAGCACAGCAGCTAATTTGAATATCATAATTGGAGATTCAGACTAAAAACGGAAGTTTCTTGTTCCTCAAAATACCAAATAAACAAATAAATAAGTAAATACAGTGCTTTTGGAGGATATGGTTAACTGCTCTCTTGCTTCCACCTTGACCAGCTCAAGACTTTTGCACAGCACTCAAAACAAGTGACAACATATTTCCACATTCTTTTGATCTTTTTTTATTTCTGCATTTACTCTTCGACCTTCCTGACCACGTCGTGATCACCAAACTTGGGGT